CATTATATTGTGCAGTGTTCATTGTAGGGAACATTATAATTGATGGGTCTAAAAAGTTTTCAACATCAACTTAACCTTAGGCAGTGTGATATAGTTTGTATATTTATCATAGAAGTATTCAGAAAAGTACCATTTTGAGTACCACACTGTGAAAGTACTCCACTACAAGGAAAGGTCCTGCATTCAAAACCTTACAGGTACAAGTATAATTGTATTATCAGTATGAAAAATAAAAGTAGTCATAGCGCAGTAGAAAATTAGCTTTTAGTGTAATTTGTGAATAAATATTACTTCTGCGTTAATATGTATGTTGCCTTTTCCTGCTGAGGATGTTTATGGTTGAGCTCATTTTAATTACTTTACATACAAATTAGTATTCAATGCATTTCTATGTCTGTTGAAACTAATGGAGGAAGTGTGTCCATTCGCTTCTGTTACACCACAGATGTTGCCTTTTCAGAACTTGCTGAAATTAAACAACACACCAAAAGGAATTTTGGTACCAAATTTCAAGACTTTAGACCAATCTGAATGAATGTTATGGCATTTTCCCTTATCATACTAAATATAGTGCTTGGGCGCAAATGGGTTAAACTCCACTGCTCCAACACAAATAAATAAATAAAAAATCAGTGGCTGAGAAAATGCAAGGTCCTGCAAAAAACCCCAACAAAATTATGCAAGCGGAATCCATCTAATTGGTTGCATATCAATTAATGTATGAAGCAACTGTGAATTAACATTCCTCAACAGATGATCTATTAAGTGTGAACTTATCGCATAAAGTCATAGTGACTTTATCATTTGTTAGTGGTGAGCAACAGGAATTCATGATACATCCTGCAATAATTCATGCATTATATCATCCTGAGTCATGCATTAGTTAAGCATTATTATTTGTACCCTTATTATAAAGTGTTACCAAAAACGTTAATTTTGAAAAGTACAGCGACTAGTAACTAAAGCTGTCAGACAAATGTAGTGGAGTAAAACGCACAATATTTGCCTCTGAGGTTTCATCAAATGGAAATACTTAAGTACTACAAAGTTGTATTTAAGTACAGTATTTGAGTAGATGTGTTCCATTCCACAATTTAATGTACCACCACACCTCTAACCTCTGCTTACATTTTGTGGAACCGATAGGAATCTGGCCTGCTTTTCAGCTCTTTGCTTTTAAGTTTTTGACAAGAAATAAATAAACTGATAAACATGTCACATCCAATTCACTCAATAAACTGTGATTGAATAACCTGCATCCTGCGTACAGTAATTCAGTTTTAGGGGGAAAGATGGGTGAGTGAGCAGCTATTTGATAAACATTATTAAATAACCGCCTTCATAAGGAACACTGATCTTCCACTTTAGGTTTATTCTTTGCTACCTGTGAATACTTTCATCACACAGCAATGTGGGAACCTGTGAACTGCAACATTCCTGGAACATTCTGCAGATGTTTATAATTTCAAACTTACATTTTTAATATTGGACATGAGGGATGGGGATCTTATGGGTGTGTCCTTGGAGACAAAATATCTGGGTTTACTGAAGCCCTTATTTTGACACATAATATGCAGACATAGCTCAGGGGTGCTTTATTCTTTTATTCCAAGTTCTCATGACTTTGTCAATCAATTTTTTTCTACTGACTTCATCATTGTTTTCTGTGCCTGTTTTAATTAGTGCTAATAGATGGAACTATTTATTGAGTTCATATGTTTGCCATGGGTCCTAATTTAAATTGTCACACACTATCAGGGGGTTAGGGTTAGGGACCATCCCTGTGTCATTTTGAAGGAGACAGACAGATTTCCTTGTGTGCTGTTTAGTTTTACACAGTTTGTAAATTAACTATAACCTTCAATATTTATTTATTTTTTGATGACATTAATTACATAACTAATAATGTTATGTGAAAAAATAGTTAACATTTTGCTATGATGGCTGTTTTTTTTTTTACAGTAGTTCATTGTTAGGGTCCCTGGGGAGCCCAGTGGGTGGTCCTTGTGTGTTAAATATGTTGGTAGGATGAGGGTTAAATGGAATTTATGGATCTAAAAATGTTAACTTTTGTTGATAAACGACACCACAAGCAGTGGGATCTGTCATCATCTGTACTGAGATCTTCTCTCTCCTGATAAAATACATATTTAGCTTGTCACAAGTGCAAATGAAGCTGCATCCTATGTACAGTAACTGTAGTCTGAGAACCAAACCAAGCCCTGGCTTATTCCACTAAACCCCAAACAGTGGGATCTACTGTAATCTGTGTTTTTTTAATATATTTTAACCTCCAGTGACATACCATTACCTATTTAAACTCTATTTTAATGCTCATTTGACTTGTCACAAATGCAAATCAAACTTCATCCTGCTCACATTAAATGTGTTCCATTAAATCAGTGGGGCACCCAGTAGATATCACTATTAGATAAAGGTCATCTCACTATAGTTATAGAGGAAACATTGATCCTATAGACCATAAGCTGCATTTATTCAGACACGTTTGCCATCCTATACATTTATTTTGGGGCTCACCCACTCTGTAGCATGGACAGTACCACCCCTGTACAGCCAATTATCGCCTCTAGTTCCAAAAATTATACTGGGCTGCATTGCAATGGTAAACCAGTGCAAATGTCCACACTGAACTAACCCCGAATAACGGATTATATTGTGCCTCAGTCCGACCTGAAACCAGGTGTCCTCCGCGGGGGAAGCTGCTGACTCTGTGTCGGTGAGTCCCCTGGTCCGGTGTGTGCCCCCCTGTTGCTTTAAGCAGTGCGTCCTGCCGTCCGACAGGAGGCGTGTCTCCCCTACGGCCGGAGCGCAGCGCTACCAGATGCTGGGGAAGCGATTCGGCTCCTCCATAGAAACAAATCAACTTCTTTTGTGCTGCTCTGGTGACTCTTCCCGGCTCCAGCTCTACCTAGGGTAAGCCCATTCTCTCTAACTTTACATATATTTACATGTTTTTACTGCGCTCCTCTCCGTTTTCTCGCTAGTTACATCTTTTCGGGGACATGTTATATCTTTGGAAAAATGAGGGAGCTTTTTTCACATCGTTTCCAACCGGCAAAACGCGCAGAAAACCGTTACGCACCTCACCGCTCTGGCTTGAAGTTCACCTGTGAGTTTATGGGGGGCAAAGCCGATTTCAACCCGCGCCCTCAGACCGAAAAGAACATTTAAATGTCTCAGAAATAGTCTCAGTTTTGAGGTTTAATAACCCTCGGAGAGCTGTGACCTCCCGTGTCTTTGCCCGACCTCTATTTGGAGACGCTTGTCACCTCTTTCGGGTGCCTCCTCCTCCTTCTGCTCCTCCTCGGGCTGATGCCTTCACTGCGTTGGGGTTGAAAGACATTATGGGGGTCGTTAAATGCTCACCGTGATCCGCTTTATGAATGATCCAAAGATAACGTCTCCATAGTTCACGGGGCCGGATGGGAACTCGCGGAGACAAGCCGCGCATTTAAATTCCACAGTTGATGAGCGCATTAGCTTTAAATCAACTTTATCATCACGCGGCTTCGCCCACTGGAGGGGCTCCGCTCGGCCTATTTAAAAGCCCTTTTCACATGTACAAAGGGGCATTTGTTGGGCTGTGGCTCTGTCTGTAAAAAGAGCTGAATATAAACAAATCCAGATGAGTATGCAGCGGTGCAAACTGGGCTCTTTTCCGCAAAGACTCCATCAGCACCTTTCCGGGCGTTACGCGCGGCTGTTGGAGAACTGCAGCTCCGTGGACTTGATATTAGTTCAGGGCTGCTCTTTCTTATTATGACCTCTATGTGAGTTAAAATGCTGCGCCGGTTTGTTCAGTGCACGCGGAGAGACAAACAAATCTCAGACTGCTTTTTCTTTCAGATCATTAGTCACACATTGGCTCAGGAAACCTACTGACAGCCTCTAAAATGTGCGGATACGATGAAAAGGAAAAAGACACATTCGGAGAAATCAACTTTTCAAAATCAACATTGCATGTTTTGCCAGCTGTGGAGCACAAATTATATCTACTTAATCATGAATAAGAGGTTGGCATCTTCTAAAACCACATCCAGCCTGTGCATACAACTTACATATTAGTTCAAACACTAGTTATCTGGGTGTTGGCCACAGTAAATGAATGTTAATGCAGAAGCAGGCGGTACAGTGAAACAGTATTTAACCTTTAATCTGTATCATGATGTGGATTCGGTCCAAACAGAGAGCCCTGCTGTTAATTAAGGAGGCAAACGAGCAGGAGAAGCTGGCAAATACACTGGAACAGAAGGCTCTTCGGAGCCTCTGTCCATGGTGCTGAAACCTTATCAACGCACTGACTCCTCTATTTAAAACAGAGCTTCTGTCCATGGTGCTGAAACCTTATCAACGCACTGACTCCTCTATTTAAAACAGAGCTTCTGTCCATGGTGCTGAAACCTTATCAACGCACTGACTCCTTTATTTAAAACAGAGTCTCTGTCCATGGTGCTGACTCCCCCAGCTATGGCCTAAATGTTAAGGCGTTTACTTCTTCACAGGCTGTCTTGAATCTTAGTGAGATATTTTATATTACTTTTTGTTATCCTGAAAATATTGTTAATTTCAATTTATCATATATTGCATCAGAGAATAGGTTGCCATCCTTTTTTATTCGCCCCATGTTTAAATCAGCTCGACCTCCACGCATGGAATATTCCCGATCCTGTCTGAGTTATAAAGTTTAGAGAGGGAATCTGTGAGATTTTTGAAATGATGCATCAGATTAACCAAGCAGAATTAGCTTGAAAACATCTGCAGACCTTGGAAATAACACGGCAATATGTGCTTTTATATGGAGATATCCAGTAAAACTAACCCATGTGGTTATACAATCTTTATAGAATTTTCCAATTTATTTACACACTTTACACACACCGACTGTGGCACTTCTTTCAGACCATGGAAGAACGGTCAGTAATTCAGCAGTCAAATAAAAGAGCCGATTCCTGCGATCACAAGTCAGACTACACACATGCAATTGAAATTTGATGTCGATGGTCGGCTCTTATCTAACCGGCTGCACAGTCTCGGGGAAAGTAACAAATTTAAAAAAAAAGTAATAATTCAAAGAAAGACAGAGCATGAGTTGTGGAATACAGAGGCTATTCATCATGTTGAGTGTACGGTGACAGGTGTGCTTCACGGAACCCTCACAAGCTTGAGTGACTCCGATCAAACGCAGGCGATCTTTCTCAAATTCATAGATTGGCTTTTAGGCGGCAGTGCACGGCGGCGACGCTCCGCTGCCAGCGAACCGAACCGCGGAGAAAATCTGAGGGGAAACCGGAGAGCGGCGGCTGGGCTGGCCGCGGGGGGAGCACGACATCAGGGAGAGAGAAGGGGAGGAAGGTGGGGGGGAAGTATGGCAATTTGCGGCATAGATCAAGGGGCGAAGTGTGGTCAGCGGTAGCCGAGAAACATGCCCGATCCACCCCGTGCGCTCTCCCACTACTAGTGTTGGCTCGACGTCAGATGCTGTGCGGCAGTGCAGCAGGAGGAGCTCGGGCTGGCGAGGCTGCCGACACCGCCGCTTTTCGCTCACTCGCACACACTCTTCACTTGGTCACGCTGGATCTCCACAAACCTCACCCCCCTCCTCCTCCTCCTCCTCCTCCTCCTCCAATCTCTGCCCGTGTCTTCTCTCAGCAGATGGATTTCTTCAAGCTCTGCCCTGCCTAACATGGATGCCCAGCCACCTCCACCACCACCACCTCCACCATCATCTTCCTCAGCTGAGTCGGAGGGCTGTTTCTTCTTGGCGCAGTGAGCTGGACACGCAGTGTTTTTTTCTTTTTTTTTCTTTTTTTTTTTTTTCCTCCTTCTTTGGTTGCCCAAATGGATGAGGGGAAACCGCTGCCCAGCCCGCCGGTGGTGATCATGCCGTGATATTGTTGCCTCCTTGCTTTACATTAAAGGGGTAAAAGAGGAAAAAATAATTCTGGGGAATATACCGATTCAGGGAATAAAAATCCTGTGCACCACACAAGCACCATGAAGATTACCTCCCTGCTGATGTTTAATGCCAGAGTCAGGTGCACCGTCAGGCTTCTACTGCTGCTATTACACTGTGTGGGATATTCTCATGGGATGCCACACGTCTTGAGATTCGGTGAGCTGCTTCTTATTACCCCCCTCTCATGTTACCCCTGAAAGTTTAATCGGTGTGTTTTCATCCCCATGAAGCATGTTGCTCTCATCACGACCTGTTGGAGACTCACTTTTCCTCCCTTGTCTCACTTGTGGGAAAAGTTGCTGCTCTGAGTGTTATTTGCAGTGTCACAAGGTTTTTTTTAAATTTGTTTAGGAGCAATATTATGAGGGTAGTGTATCCAAACAGTTGGCACAGACCTGCACTACTACAGTGCAAAGCTGCCAGGAAGAGAAATGAATATGTGAATGATGTCCATAGGGAGGCAGCCTGTAACTTGTTGCTATTTGGAAAGTTTCAAATGTTTAAGGTTTTCAGAGATTAGCACCCCTCACACCACACAATGTCTACTGATAGTGATATTTTCCTGTCAGCCACCTTTCTGTGTGTAGTGTATATTTTTTCATTAGTTCCTATTGTACATTTACATGTAATGGTGATGTGTGTGAAAACATTTATTTATGACAGTAGCTTCACTTTTGTCTGAAGAATGAGGGGCGTCATTTTTCAAAAAATGTCTACATGCCTCGTCCATATTTCAGAGACGTGATGAATATTTTATTCTGCTGTAAGGGGAATTTTTCGGCAACCTTTTGAATCCTTTAAACTCCCCCATTAGGAAAAATAAACACATTTCATCACTATATGGAAACACAGTGTGTCTGCTCCAACACACTGCAGCAACCGGAAATATTCCAACCCAGATATATATATATATATATATATATATCTGTTTCTATAGCTGCATCATTTCATCTTATGGAATTCTAGACCTCTTGTGTATCATTTTGTGCCCATCATGAGGCGGAATGGGTTTGAATAACTCAGTGGTTTTAACACTGGGGACAGCGGTTGGCAACTTGCACCACACAGTGTTGCAACAACCAGAGAATACAGCAGGAAGAAAGAAAAACACTGCAGAAACCAAATTATTAAAATAAAAGCTTTGATTTAATTCATCCTATCAGGCATGTATTTTATCAAAAAAAACATACAGGCACACAAACACACACCACAGTACGGACTCACACACAGAAATACACAGATTGCTACTACTATACGAACTGCACACACATATATTTACATAGATCTTTTGTTAAACAATCCAACCATTCTTGTTTGGTATGGATTGGAAGAAACAGCACTGGCACTATAAATTCCTCAGTAATTAAATCCACATTGTACATTTCTTTAATTCATGAATGCAGATTGATGAGGTGCGAATTGATTTTTCCACTCATGAAGCTGTAAGATCTGAATCAAAGTGCGGATGGACAGATAGGTGAGATCCTGTGAACCTCTGGCCTGCTGGGTGTCAGTACGGACATAGTCTCTTTACATTACAGTGGCTGGCTCACAGTGTGAAGTCATTCAGTCCATGTGTACAGTGCAATGAGGAAAACACCCTGTGCCACATTACATCCCATTTTATGATCGCAGTCTCTCACCACCTATTGACAACAGAAGGCTGAAGCTGAACTGTCTGTTGGACAACATGTCCTGTGATTACATTTATTTCTACCTCTCTTATTTTGCCACTGGATCTTTTATCAGCTACCTACCAGCCTCTTGTGTATTGCCAAATCTGTTCAGCAGGCATTAGTGGGCCTTTGTGTGTGTGTGTGTGTGTGTGTGTGTGTGTGTGTTTAAGGTTTCGTCATGGAATGTGACAGATTGAGGAGCACATCAGCAGCTTATGAGATAAATATCAGTTGAGTTAAAGCTCAGTGTAAGTTAGTTAGCTATGCAGAGAGAACACTGATCAGAATATAAATAAAATAATCTTAAAGGGGCACAGTATATGTCTCAGCGTTCCAGTCATTCCCAACTTCTACAATTCCAACATAGTTTATGGAACCCAGTATGCAGAAATATTCAAATACACTAAAATAACACATTTATACTACAAAAAACTGCATGGGATTAGCCCCAAACTGTATGGGATTAGCATAAAGTGGGCATGTCTGCAAAGGGGAGACTCCATAGAACTCATTTTCATTCGAGGTCAGAGGTCAAGGGGTCCATTGACCCCTTTGAAAATGGCCATTCCATTCCATCGAGAAAATGTAGCCTTTATATAGCCCCCTTCCCGACATGCTAGCACGACACAATTGGATTAGTTCATCTAGTTTCATATGATACCAGTATGTTGACTAGCTTTAGAACTGAGGCCACTATAGCCTCTGAAAGACAGCACAGGGTAGAAGATGTAAGGATATTGGGGTGACACCTGGGTGGCCAATCACATTTCAGGGCTAACCAGATCCACCACAGGCCCCGCCTCTGGAAACGCCCCTGGTAGGTGCACCATGGAGTGCTCTAATGAGTGTATTTTTAAATAAGTAAAGGCCTAATTATCCACTGTCAAAACTGTGCTACTCTAACTCCACCAATTCAATTTTGACTTTGCAAATGGAGCAACTTTGATTCTGAAAAATGACAAATGACCTTGGTATTAATGCAATAATCCCAGCATTAAATTTGGGACTATACATTTGCTTTCTTCAAAATGGGAGCTTTTAAACAGTTCAATTCAATCAGTCGTTTGAAAAATGATGGTGCAAAGGTGATGGACAACTAAACTGGATTTCCATTTTGAAATTCTAGCAAAAGAGAAAAAAAACAGCGGAGAGTAAGAATGCCACAGCTGCAGTTTTTAATCGATCTAACCAGCTACTGTGATAAAAAAAAAGAAGCTTTTTACAGACTCCAAGAGGTCTCTTTTAAAAGACCTCGGGAGCAGAGATGTATACGGTTAAGACTGTTTTGCAGGGGATAAGGAAATTGAAGCAGCAGAGTTCAGCTGGTGTTCTGTCTGCTGAAAACAGAAGCTCACATGCTGACAACCGCTGACGATAGAAACCACATAACTGAATTTACCCGTGGCCAATTGAAGATAAAACTTGATACAGATCCGCTGTAAGCAGCGATAGACAACCACAGCAACATGTGACCTGCCAAGCTCCGTAACTATGGCTCTAGCCAGCTGAAATGCTAAAAATGTCCTTTTGAGTTTTTGAGGAGTTGAACTGCAGACAGGTAAGGTCAGGAAATTGGATTACTTGTGTGGAGGAGAAGCCATATTCAGGGTCACTGCACAGGAATACAGCAGAATGTATTTCACACATTCACTACATGAGCTGCTGGTGGAAAGCAGATGCTTCACTCTTTTAGAAAAGCAGCATTGACAAAAAAAAGTATAGGTCAAGGAAGTGGTCGAGCTGACAACTGTATGGAAAGTTATGGATTAAATTCAAAATTTTTCATCAGAGCGGCAGAGTCACGGACATCCACGAGGTTTCTTACTTCTAAAGGCAGCCATTTTAAGCAGTAGTTGTGTATCATAATGTCTTAGCTTATACTGGAACTCTATGTCTCTGTGATCTCGGCAGAGCGGAGATTGAATCAGGTGCGTTGGCGCTGGCTGCCTTGGTCGGCATTAGTGTGAAGGTCACCGTCTAATGGGGCAGACGAGCTAAATGTTGCAGGTCGAGGCTAGAAAAACTCCCTCTTTAGAAAAATACCTCGCTCCCTCAGAAGGCTGCCTGTCAATAACTGAACAGAAAAGTTGACATTATCCTCCAGGCTCCGGCCCTCGCCTCCCTGATGACTTGTAAATAAGGAGATTTGCAAAGAAAGGCAAGCTGCTTGGAAACAATGTGTGGTGCGCTAAGCGGATCATCGCGCAATGGAGAGCATTAGGTATGAAATGGGAGGTGATAATCACAGCATCCTTCAATGAACAAGCTCATTTCCATGTTTGTTTTTCCTGTTTATCAATGTAGCTGTAGGTGGAGTTTAATGAGGAAAAACTTACAGCTCTTTCACAGCTCTAAATAACAAAAGGTGACAGAAGCACTAAATGTATATTAATCCACAGCTGAAAATAGTTCCAAACAAATGCACTGTTTTCTCCTGTTTAAGTAATATTTGACAAAAACTCCAGTGGCCAGTTCTTTTAGGAAACTTCTTAAGCCTTTTTAAAAAATAGACCCATATTTAAAGTTTTAAGTCTTCAGTAGGAACCAAATGTCTTGGGGCTGAGAGCCACAGACAGGGTGGAGAAGTCAGAAAGGATTCAGAGACAGACTCAGATATTATTAGAGTTGGCCTTTCCTGCAGTAGTAAGAAAAATACAGCCATCAGCCTTGGACAAAATAAAATCCATAGCAATTTTCTAAGACGGCTATTGCTGGACACACATTCCATGTAAGTCCTCACAGGTAAATTACAAAACTGGTAGTGGTTTTCTCAACAACCCATATGACCAACCAGTATCTTTGGAATTAAGTCCACAGTGCACAATTCTGCAGCCATTGGAAACCCAAATAGACAATAGCCTTCAGAGTGTTAGAAATTAGTTTCAATCCAAATGTAAAATATGTTCATTTACGTTTGTGTAAACATTCCTGATATCGGGTGTGAACTGGGCTTGGAGTTAGGAACCTAAGAGTACTAGTTTGAGGTTAGGTATGGTGGTCAAGGTCATCGAAGCAATATGGGAATTCTTCTTCAGAGGCAAGCACAGACCAAGAACCCATGGTCTATAATAATTCACTGCTAGGCTGGAATTTGCTGGTTTGCTTTAGAGCCCAAAACAGGAAGAGGGCGCTATTCTACAGGCGCAAATAAAGCTAAAGCTGTCAGAGAGTCTGGCAGTGACAGATGGTAGAAGGAGAAAAAGTCTGATGGAAAAATCACTTCCAACATGTTTATCCACTTCAGTACAGACATAGAGGAGGGAGGAGGGAGGAGGAGGGTCCTGGAAACAGCATGTTGTACATACACAGCACCTTTAACTCAGAGAGCACCTGCAGGAACCCATGATAGGCAAGGCTTGAACATCAGTCTTTATGCAAGCCATGTGTGACCAGAAATAGCATCACAGTCGTAATTGAAAAAGTAGCAGACTGCCCAGCTGTCTGATACTGATCCTGAGGGTGGAGTTGGATGAGCAGTGA